CAAGGCACCACGTAGACTCAAGTTCTGCTTCAACTCCCTAAGAATGAAACTTTTTCAGAGTTTCTGGGAATTCATCTGACTCTAGTGATCCTGAAGTAAACAAGGTTCTACCTTAAGAATCTTGTGGTTCTACCACAAATCCATTTAAAAATAGGACTGCAACAGAAGGGCATAACATGGAGTAGTTCTGTGTATATGCAAGGAATAATCATCTAGCAGTATGCCTGTGGTTGTAAGACTTATGTGACAAAAATATTAAAGACAGTAAAAAATGTGGCCTTCTGACTGGTGATGACGAGAGGGGGGAAAACCTGAGAGTGTAAAGGAGCAGTTGGACAGTCATTAGAGAGTGGAAGTTATTGAAATAGGGCCATGGACAATTTGTATGTGTGGGATAGGAGCTATGAGAGATACTGATAGGAGCAACTGCCAGCATTCTCCACCATCAACCCCAGTCAACTAAAGCTAACACCCATTCATGTTCTGGAAGGTGGCTGTACTTCTGGAACTCATTCTTCTTGAAACCTATGCAAAGATCATCTAAAAAGTATTTGTAAATAACAATAAAAATTTACCTTATATTGTGATGCCAGCAGCTATTTGCCGTAGCTAGGTTCAATGAAAAGATATGGAGACAAGATGCTTCCCTGATGTACTCCCTTTCTGATTTTGTACCACGCAGTGTTTCACTGCTCTGTTCTGAGGACTGCTTTCTGGTCTAAGTATAGGTTTCACATAAGCACAATCAAGTGTTTTGAGAGTCCCATTCTCCTCAAAGTTGATCACAATTTATTGTTATCCACAGTCAAATTCTTTTGCATAGTCAATGAAACACAGATAGATATACCTCTGATACTCTTTGCTTTCTGTCAAGATCCATCTGACATTGGTGATAATGTGTCTAGTGTTGTGGCCTCTTCTAAACCCAGCTACTATTTCTTTCTGGTAGCTGTTTCTGGATAATTTTAAATATGAATCTCTTCCAGTCAGTTGGCCAGGTAGTTGTTCTCCAGATTTCTTGGCACAACCTGGTGAGCATATTCTAGGGCAGCATCTTTTGGTGAAATACGTCAATTGATATTCCACCAATTCCTGGGGCTTTATATTTTGCCAGCTCCTTCAGAGCAGGCAGAACTTCCTCCTTTATCACCATTGCCTCCTGTTCATTAAGGAGGCTGGGCTATATGAAGAGGAATGTGGCATCAGATTTCGAGGGAGACTCATCAATAACTTATGTTATGCAGATAACACAACCTTGCTTGCTGAAACTGAGGAGAACCTGAAACACTTGCTGCAGAAGGTCAAGTACTGTAGTCCTCAATATGGATTGCAGCTCAACATCAAGAAGACCAAGATTCTCACCACTGGGTGGGCCAATTGGCAGCACCATGATGGGTGGAGAAGAGACTGAGGGAGTTAACAGTTACAGCTTGCTAGGCTCCACAGTCAATAGTTTTAGCACCAGCAATCAGGAAATAGACAAATTGCTTTAAGTAAATCTGCTGTTAGAGACCTTGCCAAAGTACTGAGAAGCAATGATGTCACTCTAGAGACTAAGGTGAATCTGATCTAGTCCATGTTTTTTGCAATTACTTGCTATGCATCAAACAGCTGGATAATGGCTAAGGATGATAGAAGAAGAATTGATGCCTTTGAGTTGTGGTACTGGAAAAGAGTCGTGAACATACACCATGGACTACCAAGAAAACAAATAGGTCTGTCTTGGAGAGGGTGAAGCTAAGTTTCTCCATGTAGGTTAGGATTTTGAAGGTTCATCTTAGATACTTTAGGCATGTGGCCAGAAGGAACTGATCCTTGGAGAAGGACATCATGTTCGGAAGAGTGGAGGTACAGGAGAGAAGAGGAATAACTCAGATGAAATGAATTGATGTAGTGACTAGGACAATGGAGGTAGGCGTGTCAGAGTCAGTGAGACTGGTTCAGGACAGGATAGGCTTCAGAGCTATTGTACATAGGGTTGATATGAGTCGAAGGCTATTCAACAATACTTAACAACAACAACAACAGGTTCAATGAGAAGAATATGCAAGTATGTGCATACAGGTTGCTGGAGATCTAACAAAAAACAAGAAACTGTGAATGGCAATAATTTTCTCCATTGCAAAAGACCAACCCCTGAATGATAAACCTTGTATCAATGTGGTGTTGACAGAGTCTCTGACATGGAGGGTTCCACATCTGCAAGAAATGTTTGAAAGATGAGCCATGTCTCCCATATTTCATATCTCCCACATCTTTGAAGGCTACCTTTCCTCTGAATTGATTTCCAGTCCTGAGCCCTGGGTGACCCACAGGACCCTCTAGACACAGTTGATTCCACTGCTAGTGCTCTTGTCCCTTTCACTATCCCCAGTCTTTCCTCAATGACTTTCATGGGAGAAGAGGGTATGAATGAGCCTGTGCATATTGTGAATGTGGGTATTTGGACACTAGTGACTATTACTTGTCTTCCAGAACATTACTAGGTGTTAACATTCTTTGACTGGGGTTGATAGTGGAGGATATTAACAAAACTATTTCTACTTACATTTTGTTATCTTTGTTGAACTTACATGACTACTTGGACTGTAAAAAAAGCCAATTCTTGAGACAATCTCTAGGCAGTGTAGTGAGAAGGGGGCTCCTATCTGAGCTACTTCCTGGATGAGTTATTTAGTCTCTCTGGGTTCTTCCCAACTTTCCAGGAGGTACCTGATCCAAAACATGGTATTTTCAGTTGCTTTAAATGATCTGAAAATCAGGCAATGAATAAGGAGGAACAAGGGAGAATCAATGCCTTTGACTTCTTGTACAGGCAAACAATATAGAATATACTGTAGATTGTCAAATGAACAAACTAATCTGTCTTGAAAAAAGTACAACCAGAGTATTCCTTTGAGGCAAGGATGGTGAAACTTCATCTGACATACTTTGAGCATGTTGTCAGGAGGATTCAGCTTCTGAAAAAAGACATCATAATGGGAAAGGTGGAGGATCAGAAAAAGAAAAGAACCTTAAAAAAGATGGATTGACAGTGATTCTGTAGCAATGGCGCATCTAATACATCAGAGATGAAGATGGCACAAAATAGGTCAGGGTTCAGATCCATTGTTTACAGGGTTGCTATGAATTGTAGTTGACTTGAATGGCACCAAACAACAAAAATTACTTGGTAGCTGACAGAATTTACAAAAGGATAATCAATAGATTATAAAGAGGAGATACCCATGAAACATATTTGCTCTTTGATTTATGTAGAACATTCACCCCAGAATGTAAAGCATATGTCCTTTGTGAGTTGGGAGTTCACTATCAAAATTGACCATATTCTGACCTATAAAGAATATTCCAAAGAACTAATATAGTATATTCTTTGGACATAGTGAAATTTGGGTAGAAATTAAGGAGAAAATGTTATCTAGAATGTTCCCTAAATGTTTGGAAATCCAGCAACACGTTTCTAAACAACACATTTGCTAGAGAAGTAATCTCAATGGTTATTGAGTAATTGAAATAATATGAAATCATAAGTGTGAGGCTATCAGTAATGTCAGTTGGATAATGATACTCAGAGCTGCATATACTGGGTTAGTGAAGGAGGGTAACCAGTGACCTCTCCAGCTCAAGAGGTCAAAGAATTGCAAATTGAAAAGGACTCAGGGTACCAGAATTGCAGAATAAGTAAAATAGAAAACAAAGATAGAATAGGATGGAACAAAACCCACAAATTTGTTTCTTGAAAAATGTGATAAAATAGCTAGTCCTTGAAAGGAGAAATATAGAAATGATGTATTAAGTAATAAGCCACATCCAGAGAGAAAAGGGATCTTATTACCAATACCACCAATCTCAAAGACTAGTATAATATAGTTGGATGAGGCTAAGAATGACAAAGATGGGCAAAGACTGGTGCCTGTAGCTTCCTTGGTGGAACAATAGATGAATTAGGTGGCTCTTTGTTTCTTAGACCCCTATCACTCTTGACCACCAGTTGATGTCTGACAGAGTCGGGAAAAGGTCCACCATTCTGTACACATCTCATCACTTCTTGTTTTCAAGGCTGTGATCTCAAGGCTATAGCTGTGTGATCTTTGAGTTCATACATACTCAGGTGCCCAATGTCCAGAGCCAAGGCCAGAAATATTTCCTTTGCGGAACACATCTGGCACCTCTTCACTTCTCAGCAGTCTCCTTTGGGAATAACAGTCAAGGATCAGTCTTACAAGTCCTTGTGCAGAGTTGGTTGTCCAGTGAAAATATGAGTGAGGAGATATGGCTAAGGCCATGGGATAAGAAAAGGGTAGACTTGGGAAAGAATGCACATTTCCTGAGATGAGGGGAGGTTGGTCCCTTCCTCCAGCATTCTGTCCCACTCTCTCTTGTCCTGGGCTTTCTCATTGTCCACCCTAGGATATTAGAAAGCCCTGCTCCTCATTGTAAAGCACAGCCAGATAAGAAGTAACATGACAATGGGGGGGGGGTGTAACAGGTGAAGATGGTTCTCTATATGCCCGGCCCAGATATTGGCCCTCAATTTGTATTGCCCTTCTCCCCCCAACATGTACTCACATTGAGGCTGTGGCTATAACTAAGATCACATGGAGACCGCGTTTTCACTCTACTCTTCAGGCTTACTAGGAGTTCCTGAGCCTGTCCTTATCTGCTCTGATATGTAAATGGCAAGATCAACATAATATACTAGGACTGAATTGAGCAGAAGAGATAACCCTGGACTTGTGCAGCAAAAAGAGTTTATTTAAGGCTTTTCTCCAAGGCCTCATGCTTTACTGTCTGATGATAATAGGAGGGAGAGGTAGGGGAGTAGTGTGGAGGAGCTGGATATAGGTAGCAGTTGGAGAGAGGAAGCAACTAGTTCAGGGACTCTGCTGTGTAGGATGTGTAAGCTTTGAGCTGTGAAGGACACTTCCAGCAGCAACTGCCTTCCCTCTGGCCCCTGTGCACTTGTGCATCTGCAAATTTCAGTGCTGGTGCTGACAGTCATGATTCAGCAGGTGACTTTTCTGATGGGGTTCACACTGACAGTAGTGCAAGTCTGGAGTATCCATTATGAATTTTTGGACATCAGTAAGAACATGAACTATTTTGCCATGTCAGTGGAGTTTGCTGTATTTGAGTACAACAAGAACAATGCAGATGACTATGCCTACAAGTTACTGCGAGTCCGACGTAGCCAGCACAAGGTGTGTATATGGGCCTGTGCCTACTGTTTTCTTTTGCACTCTGAGACCAGACATAAGCTTGGGAGGACTTGGTGTGTGGAAAGAAGCTGGGATATTTAAATGTCATAAATAATTTGTTTAAATCATAAGTTATCACCAGAAGCTACTTTTATTTCTAGTTTGTTTCCTTTAATAAAGGAACCCTTGAACAACAAGAATCAGAAAGCAATGCAGAGGTCAGAAATTCTGCTGTGGCATAGTGGCTGGAAAGTAGAGGGAGTACTTACTGCATCTGTTCTACTTGGAAGTAATGTCAGCACAAATTGCTGGTGTGGATGTGAGACAAGAGGATACTCAGGATATCTCCTACCAGACCCATATTTGTCCTAAGAGTAAGCGATGATAATTCTTCAAATTGAGACAGAGGAGACAAAGAGGAGGGAGAGAGAAGGGTCTGGGCAGAATTAATTACTTCTGACATTCGTATAAGATTGATCATGGAAACAATGGATTACATAACCTGAAGGGAGGTAGGGGCTGGACCTGATAAAAAAATAATGGAACATTGGCATCTAGTTATGTGACATTTCCTCATGTGTTTTCTTTTTAAATCCCCACATATTTCTTCAATTGAAATTATGACTGTGGTTCATCGATGGGACAGTAATTTTTTTCATCGCAAAAAGATCAAACCCTGAATAATAAACCTTGAATCAATGTGTTATCAATAAAGTCTCTGATACGAAGGGTCTTACATCTGCAACAAACATTTGAAAGATGATTATGTACCTTACCTTGCCATACAGAGCAAATCATGTCTCCCATCTCTTACGTCTCCCACATCTTTGAAGATTGCCTTTCCTCTGGGTTGATCTCCAGTTCTGAGCCCTGGCTGGTTCCCAAGACGCCTCAGACACAGATGACTTTACTGCTGGTGTCCCCATCTCTGCCTCTGTCGTTGGTCTTTCCTCAGGTCTCAGTGACTTGTATGGAAGAACAGTGTATGAGTGAGCCTGTGAGTGTTGTGAATATGAGTATGGGGCACTAGTGGCTATCACTTGTCAATTGCATGGATTTAAACAAAGCCAGCATTTGAGACAGCCTCCAGGTTAAAGACACATTTTTTAGCTTGAGCAACTCCAAGTCCTACTCAATTCAGCAAGCAGGGTTGTGTTACCTGCATAACGCAGATTATGTTTTAGAAAATTAATCACCTTTGAACCTTGCTCATTGTTACCTTGTCTTTTCATCTGGATTCTTCCCATTTGCTTCCCCTGCTCCTTCCATGCTCAGAATCACTGGCAATAGTAGAGATGCAAATAAAAATCACAATGAGATACCATCTAAGCTCAGTAGCAGTGACAAAGTTTAGTAATGCAGCAAGCAATAAATATTGGAGGGAATGTGTAGAGGTGAGAACTCTCATACACTGTTGGTGGGATTGTAAAATGGTGCAACCACTCTGGAAGACAGTTTGGCATTTCCTCAAAAAGTTGAAGATAGAAATTCCATATGACCCAGATATTCCACTGCTTGGACAGGAAATTAGAACTGAGAACCTAATGAAGATTTGTACACCAATGTTCATAGCAGCATTATTTATTATTGCAAGAATATGGAAACAGACCAAATGTCCAAGAACAATAGAATGGATTGAGAAATTGTAGTATATTTACACAATGGAATACTATGCAACACTCAGGAACAATAATTTTGAAAAATAGCATATAACTTGGGAGAGGCTGAAGAGCATTATGCTGAGTGAATTAACACAGTCTCATAAAGACAAATGCTGCATAAGATCATTATTGTAAAAATAGAAGGATAACTAGTAAAACATATACAGGAACTCAAGGGGGGAGGGAGGAGCAAAAAGTGAAGGATATGCAGGGGTGAAACCACAAGTAGTTTTAGAGGTATTTACATATGCATTTATGTTGAGATATATGTAGCTATTGCTATATCTGTATCTAATAATATGTATGTCTTTATTTTAAGTATGTATTTGCTGAATCTGAGGAGGGTTAAGGACTGTAGTTTTCAATATGAATTGAAGCTCTACATAAAGAAAATGAAGATTCTCACCACTGGGCCAATTGGCAGCATCATGATAGATGAAGAGCTTGAGACTGGCATAATTTAAAAAAAATCAGCTTGCTTGGTTCCAAGGATATCAAAGATATCAGTCTAGAGACTAGGATGCACCTGAGCCAGACCAATGTCTTTGCAATTATTTGCTATGCATCAGAGAGCTGTACAATAGCCAAGGATGACGGAAGAAGAATTGATGCATTTAAGTTGTGGTTCTGGAAAAGAGTATTGAACATAGCATGGACTGCTAAGAGAACTAACAGGTCTGTCCTGGAGAGGGTGAAATCAAGCTGCTCTTTGGAGGCAAGAATTTTGAAGTTTCATCTCATATACTTTGGGCATGTAGCCAGGAGGGTCCAGTCTTTGGAAAAGTATATCATCCTTAGAAGGGTCCAGGGACAGAGCAGGAGAGGAAGACCCTTGTTAAGATGGATTGACACAATAACTAGGATAATGAGGGTATGTGTCAGAGACAGTGAGATTGGCCCAGAATAGAGTAGGGTTCAAAGCTATTGTGCATAGTGTTGTTATGAGTTGTAGTCAGCTTGATGGCACATAAAAACTGTAACATATCCTTATTTATATGCATGTGCATATTCTAGTGTTCTAGTTTTTACTTGGTTCTCTACTTCTTATTTCTGTAATTATTTCACAATAGTTTCTATAATTTCTTCTCGACAGAGGCTTACTTTGATATATTTAATGGACTTGGACATGGGACGCACAATTTGTAAGAAACATGAAGAAGACATTGAAAACTGCCCTTTGCAAGAAGGCCCAGGAGAGAAAAAGGTTTGATATTCACACCACCCATAAAGTACTTTAAATATCTATCTTGTGAGAATAGAATATACCACCTCAGAGTGTTTTTGGGAAGAGGTTTAGGAATCACTTGAAGATAGTCTTGGGGTAGAATGATAGTTTGTTACCTCTCTCCTGGAATTCTTAGTGCAATCCCATCGGAGGGATTATGATCACTTTAAGCAGACAGAGCTCCCGTGGTAGTTATAGACCCTCTTCCTGTACCACATGACCTTCAGCACTTCAGCAGACAGAGATTTCTCCAACTTTTCCTTTTCCTAGTCCTTTGGAGTGCAGGTCTTTATTCCTCTTTTGTAATTGCTCTTTGAGATTGAAGGAATGTGTAGTTTACCTGGCCATCTACCTTATTCTTAGAATGTCCTGTTTTGAAAGACAGTTCTCAGCCATTCAGAGTTCTAATGCCCTCACCTTATGAATAGAATGAAAACCCTCAGTGGGCTGATCTCATCCTGCCAATCTTCATGCTGGTGATACCATCTGGGGCTGGTTTGCAGTTTGTGCCCAGTTGGAAGATGTCTGACTGGACACATGGGGGCTCCCCATAGTGTGTGTGTAGGCTTTGAGGGGCCTGGGGACCTACAAAGGCAGGTATCTTAACTAGTCTACCTCTCAGGAGCCTCAGAGCTTGAGTGATCTGATTTCACAATCTCTGCCCAAAATTCCTGGTGTCCTAGTCTCAGGAAATTGTGTTTGCACTTAATTATCTTGCAGTTTTAATGACTCTTGAATCACTTTCTTGTACTGCCTGCTAAATCTCCTAGTGCAATATTTTAATGTTATCTCTTGTAATTACTTTCCTTCAGGTCCGCTGTACCTTCACCGTGGATGTCTTTCCTATGTACACTGAGTTCACACTTCTAAATAGCACCTGTATGGACAAGTAGTTGGAAATGGAGCTCTTCGTTTTCCAGAGGTGGAGTCCACTTATGTGTTAGAGAGTAATATTTTTCTGCCTTTGCAAGAATCTGAGCAAATAAAGGCATCTCAGATAACCTTCTGAGTCCCTGAGAAGTTCTGTATTCTCTTTTCTCACTTAATTTGCATGGACATCACTGTAGAGGGGATAATTGATGGCTATTTTATCATTACTGTTACTACTTTGGGTGTAGGTGCAGATGTCATGTCAAGCAGTTCTAAACTGCTAAATTGTTAATCCTCTCTGGTCTGTTTTATTTCTTTTTCTTTTCTTTTCTTTTCTTCTTCCACTCTTGGAACTCCTTTTCCCCCCCTCATTAATTCAATTTAAAAGAGACATAGGAAAATTTACCAGAGATCAGCCTTTGTATCTCATTTCTTTCCATATTGGGGACTTTGATTTAGTAAGGTCATCTTTGACACAGAAGCTCTGTCCTATCCTGGGCTTCTTGAGAGTCAAAGGTTGTAACTGGAACCTTCAATAACCCCAGAAGATGGCAGCTCAACTCAGCATGTCTCCATTGCTCCTGATATTTGAATTTCCTACTAATGGAATGGTCCTTGGAGAAGGAGATCATGCGTGGAATGATGGAGAGACAGCGTAGGAGAGATGGGTTGACGTGGTAACTGGGATAATGGGGGTGAGGTTTATTGGAGTCAGTGCGACTGACTCACGACAGGGCAGACTCCAGAGTTTTGTATATAATTTTGCTATAAGTCACAAGTGACTTGACAGCACATAACAACAACAAAACCACCTAAGGCCCAGCCTGATCTCCAGAGCTGTCAACAAAACTCTCTGAACGAACCTGTGGAAATAAAATGTTATCTTCATATAACACTGTCTCTTATATCCTTGAGAAGGGGAGCAGAGCTTGGAGTGAAGACAGATGGAGGATAGTGGGAATATGAGAGAGGGGAGGAGATGGAAGGGATAATGGGCTATTAAGAATAATTCAGGGTGGAGGTATTCTTCAATGCTTTCTCTTACATCTCTGGAGGCTACAATTTGAGTGTTCCTTGATTAACTTGGTTGAAAGGCTGCCCTTCTAGCAATCTTTTCTCTAAAGTAGCCATAGTATTGATGGAGCAGAATATCCTGGCACTGATATAACAAAATAAGCCAGACTCATACAGTTTCTACCCTATAACCAACCTCTGTGGAAGCAGGAGTGGCATTCACTTCCTAAACAAAATACCTCCGGAATCTTTATGAACTTTGATAAATGACGATATTTGTAGAGGGGCTGTAAGCCTTTTGTTCACAGGGTCACTATGAGAAGGAAATCAACAACAATAACAACAACAACACTACACACACACAGACACACAGACACAAAGACACACACACACACACA